GGGTTTAGGGTCTGGGGTTTAGGGACGAGCGGCGGCTCTGAATCTTCTGCGGCCTTGTCGTTTTAGGGTGAACCTTGAAGGCCTTCAAGGAACTTCTGCCTGCGATGCAGCAATACCCATGCGGCACAAGATGTAGAAGGTACAAAATTCAAGAAAACTTGAGTTCTGGAACATGCATCCTTCTTGAGACAACGCAGGAACAAACAGCTTGGGTAAATAGGATGTACAGACCCTTCGTGGTTCAGAAAGGTCGTCGCATGTCTTTGAGCTGAAGTGTCGCAATGTGTGTGGAGCAGGATGAAACAAATCGTGAGCAAATCAGCCATGTCTGTCTTTACGCCAAATCGTTGCCTAGCCGGTGGCAGATGATGCTGGATCCCTTTGATTGCTGTATCCCCTCCCGTCGACCGGTTGTACTGTGCACTCCAAGATGATTCCTAAAAAGCAGAAAGGAGCAGCAACGGCAGTAAGAGAAACGAAAGTGTACGCCGCAGCATGCTTGCGTGAGCATTCAAGAAGGAGGTTCCTACAAGTAGGTCCGCTGAAGATGCGATCCTCCAGAGTGGTTGAAGTGGCACCAGCCGGATGGGTTTGAGAGGCGAACAGGCGGGGTTCACACGAAAAAACATCCAGCCCAGGACCTAGCTGCCGAGCACAGCAAATGAATGCTCACTGTTGTTTTTTGGGGGGAGGGCTGTCACAAGATGCAACAACTTACCATAACTCACTCGCATCCTACATAAGACATAATGTACTACGAGATAAAATTGTATATACAAATACTATACTAGACAAGAACATCCTTTAATATACTCAATTTTCTACTATTATGACTATTATGATATACTGTAATACTACCCCTACTATAATATGGCGTGACCCGGGCCTCGTCAAGGGAAGCGCTTGCCTGAGCAAAGCCGTAGTTTGTTGTTTTTGTCTAAGGGCCTTTTTCGTCGCTTGGCAATTGGGCTCCTGGTGGGCAGACTCCGTCTAGGTAGTTTAGGGAGTTGGGTTTATCCTCGTTTCTTCCCACGGCTTCGTTTCTTCCCTGTTTAACAGGCACGGAATGATCCCAGAGAGCCCAATACCCTTTCACCAAGGACTATACCTTAAATAAGGGTTTTCATATTTGCATTCAAGCTATAACACACTACAACATACTATAGAACATATTATAAAATACACCATGATGTACTATATTCCTTCATCAAGGGGTATCGTTCTCTAGGAAGCTCTGCGCAAAAAGCGTGTGCGCCTCCAAGGCCCCGAAGAGCTCAGGCCCCCGGCTCCGCGGAGCGCGGCTCTCTGTCTGCCGGTTCCGAAAACTACTACTGCTACTACGACTACTA